TATGATGGTGCGTAACACATATGATGACGAATAACACGTATGATGGTGTGAAACACGTATGATGCTGAATAACACGTATGATGGTGTGTAACACCTATGATGGTGTGTTACATCTATGATGGTGTGTAACACCTATGATGGTGTGTAACACATATGAAGCTGAATAACACATATTATGATGTGTAATATGTATGATGCTGAGTAACATGTATGATGATGAATAACACATATGATGGTGTGTAACACATATGATGTGTGTAACACCTATGATGGTGTGTAAAACGTATGATTGTGTGTAGCACCTATGATGGTGTGTAACACATATGATGGTGTGTAACACGTATGATGTATGTAACACGTATGATGGTGTGTAACACGTATGATGTATGTAACACGTATGATGGTGTGTAACACACATGATGGTGTGTAACACACATGATGGTGTGTAAAACATATGATGTATGTAGCACATATGATGGTGTGCAACCTGTATGATGGTATATAACATGTATGATGGTGTGTAACACAAATGATAGTGTGTAACACGTATGATGCTGAACAACATGCATGATAGTGTGTAACATATGATGGTGTGTAACATATATGATGGTGTGTAACACGTATGATGCTGAATAACATGTATGATGCTGAATAACACGTATGATGGTGTAACACGTATGATGGTGTGTAACACATAAGATGCTGAATAACACATATGATGCTGAATAGCACGTATGACGGTGTGTAACATGTATGATGCAGAGTAATACGTACAATGATGAATAACACATATGATGGTGTTTAACAAGTGTAATGCTGAATAACACGTATGATGGTGTGTAACATGTATGATGCTGAGGAGCACGTACGATGATGAATAACACATACGATGGTGTGTAACATGTATGATGGTGTGTAACACGTGTGATGCTGAATAACACGTATGATGTGTGTAACATGTATGATGATGAATGACATAAGTGATGGTGTGTAACAACTATGATGGTGTGTAACACTTACGATGATGAATAGCACATATGATGGCATGTAACACGTTTGATGGTGTGTAACACATATGATGGTGTGTAACACATATGATGGTATGCTGGTGCGTAACACATTTGATGGTGTGTAACACAAATGATGGTGTGTAACACGTATGCTGGTATGTAACACGTATGCTGGTGTGTAACCCGTGTGCTAGTGTGTAACACGTATGGTGGTGTGCACGATGTGTAACATGCATGATGGTGTGTAACATGTATGATGGTGTGCTGGTGTGTAACATGTATGATGGTTTGTAACATATATGATGGTATGTAACATGTACAATTATGAATAACACATATGATGGTAGGCTGGTGTGTAACATGTATGATGGTATGTAACACGTATGCTGGTGTGTAACCTGTGTGCTTGTGTGTAACACGTATGGTGGTGTGCACGATATGTAACATGCATGATGGTGTGTAACATGTATGATGGTGTGCTGGTGTGTAACATGTATGATGGTTTGTAACATATATGATGGTATGTAACATGTACAATTATGAATAACACATGATGGTAGGCTGGTGTGTAACATGTATGATGGTATGTGACATGAATGATGGTGTGTAACACGTATGATGGTATGTAACACGTATGATGGTGTGTAACACGTATGATGGTGTGTAACACGTATGATGGTGTGTAACATGTATGATGGTGTGAAACACGTATGATGTGTGTAACAGATATTATGGTATATAAAACATATGATGGTGTGTAACAAATATTATAGTGAATAACACGTATGACAGTGTGTAACACGTAGGATGATGAATAACATGTATGAGGCTGAATAACACTCGGTGTGTAACACCTATGATGGTGTGTAACACATGATGCTGAATAACACGTATTATGGTGTGTAACATGTATGATGCTGAGTAACACGTACGATGATGAATAACACATATGATGGTGTGTAACACGTGAGATGCTGAATAACACATATGATGGTGTGTAACACGTAAGATGTGTAAAACGTATGATTGTGTGAAACACCTATGATGGTGTGTAACACGTATGATAGTGTGTAACACGTATGTTGGTGTATAATAAGTATGATGGTGTGTAACATGTATGATGGTGTGTAACACGTATGATGGTGTGTAATACACATGACGGTGTGTAGCACATATGATGCTGAATAACACGCATGATAGTGTGTAACATATATGATGGTGTGTAACACGTACGATGATGAATATCATGTATGATGCTGAATAACGCGTATGATGGGGTGTTACACATATGATCGTGTGTAACACCTATGATGATGTGTAAAACCTATGATGGTGTAAAACACGTATGATGGTGTGTAACACCTATGATGGTGTGTAACACAATGATTAATAACACATATGTTGGTGTGTAACATGTATGATAGTGTGTAACATGTATGATGGTGTGTAATACGCATGATTGTGTGTAACACGTATGATGGTGTGTAACACGTATGATGGTGTGTAACAGGTATGATGGTGTGTAACAGGTATGATGGTGTGTAACACATATGATGGTATATAACTCATATGATGGTGTGTAACACGTATGATGGTGTGTAACATGTATGATGGTGTGAAACACGTATGATGTGTGTAACAGATATTATGGTATATAACACATATGATGGTGTGTAACAAATATTATAGTGAATAACACGTATGACAGTGTGTAACACGTAGGATGATGAATAACATGTATGAGGCTGAATAACACTTGGTGTGTAACACCTATGATGGTGTGTAACACATGATGCTGAATAATACGTATTATGGTGTGTAACATGTATGATGCTGAGTAACACGTACGATGATGAATAACACATATGATGGTGTGTAACACGTGAGATGCTGAATAACACATATGATGGTGTGTAACACGTAAGATGTGTAAAACGTATGATTGTGTGAAACACCTATGATGGTGTGTAACACGTATGATAGTGTGTAACACGTATGTTGGTGTATAATAAGTATGATGGTGTGTAACATGTATGATGGTGTGTAACACGTATGATGGTGTGTAATACACATGATGGTGTGTAGCACATATGATTCTGAATAACACGCATGATAGTGTGTAACATATATGATGGTGTGTAACACGTACGATGATGAATAACATGTATGATGCTGAATAACGCGTATGATGGGGTGTTACACATATGATCGTGTGTAACACCTATGATGATGTGTAAAACCTATGATGGTGTAAAACACGTATGATGGTGTGTAACACCTATGATGGTGTGTAACACAATGATTAATAACACATATGTTGGTGTGTAACATGTATGATAGTGTGTAACATGTATGATAGTGTGTAACATGTATGATGGTGTGTAATACGCATGATTGTGTGTAACACCTATGATGGTGAATAACACGAATGATTGTGTGTAACACCTATGATGGTGAATTAAATGCATGATGCTGAGTAACACGTATAATGGTGAGTAACACGTATGATGGTGTGTAACACCTATGATGGTGTGTAAAACATACAATAATGAATAACACGTATGATGGTGTCTAACACATATGATGGTGTGTAACATATATGATGCTGAGTAACATGTATGATGGTGTGTAACACGTATGATGCTGAGTAATACATATGATGGTGTGTAACACGTACGATGATCAATAACACGTATCATGCTGTGTAACACATATGATGGTGTGTAACACGTGTGATGGAGTGTAACGTATGATGGTGTTTAACACAAATGATGGTGTTTAACACAAATGATGGTGTGTAACACATATGATGGTGTGTAACATGTACGCTATTGAATAACACATATGAGGGTGTGTAACACAAATGATGTGTGTAACGCGTATGATGCTGAGTAACACGTATGATGGTGTGTAACACGTATGATGGTGTGCAACACGTATGACAGTGTGTAACACAAATGACGGGTTTAACACACATGACGGTGTGTAACACATATGATGGTAAATGGTAAATGGCCTGTATTTGATTTGGCGCCTTCCAGAGTCCTGTAACCCCCCAAGGTGCTTTACAACACAATCAGTCATTTATCTATTCACACACACATTCACACACTCGTGGGGATGAGCTATGAAGTAGCCACAGCTGCCCAGGGGCGCTCTGACAGAGGCGGGGCTGCCGAGCACTGGTGTCACCGGTCCCTCTGACCACCACCAGCAGGCAACATGGGTTAAGTGTCTTGCCCAAGGACACAACGACAGTGACAGACTGAGAGGGGCTTGAACCTGCAACCTTCTGATTACGGGGTGAGCACTTAACTCCTCTGCCACCTCTACCACTGATGAGTAACACATAATGGTGTGTAACACGTATGATGGTGTGTAACACATATGATGGTGTGTAACACCTATGATGGTGTGTAACACATATGATGGTGTGTAACACCTATGATGGTGTGTAACACATATGATGGTGTGCAACACATATGATGGTGTGCAACACCTATGGTGGTGTGTAACACATATGATGTTGAGTAACTCGTACTATGATGAATAACACATATGATGCTGAGTAACTCGTACCATGATGAATAACACATATGATGCTGAGTAACACGTATGATGGTGTGTAACACGTATGATGGTGTGCAACACATATGATGTTGAGTAACACGTATGATGTGTAACAACACGTATGATGCTGTGTACTCATCAGCCTTTAAATGAATAGTTTCTCATGCTGCTTCATCTTCACTGTAATCTGTGATGTAATTGCTCAACATTTATTCTGTCTTGTCATTTTAGCTCTAAATTATAAATTTATCTGTGTATATTTTAACTTGTGTTGTCTGGTTTGTTGTTGAGCCATTTAATGCTAATTGTAAAGCACACTGAATTGCCATGTGTTTGAAATGTGCTCTATACATAAAGCTGCCTTGCCTTTGTATCATGTATTAATGTGATTAACATGTATGATGCATATTGCAGGCTCACATCAGTGGAGCACCACTCCTGGATCATGTAGATGATGTGTGTCAGTTTCATCTGAAGCGTGAATGCTGCCTCCCATTCGGGCTCCATCTCAATGTGCTGTCCCACCTGTCTCATAACAGGGTCCATACCCTGAGACAGACAGACAAACAGGTTTAGACAGACAGATGGGATGTACTGAATTTTCACGTTATTCCACATTACCTGCATGCACTTCAGAAGATCCAGAAAAGCATCAAAACCTTCGAGAAACTTGTTTCTGAGCTGGTCACTCCATTCAGGAGGGGGACTTATCAGGACATACCTGCAAACAGCACAGCTGGTTAAACTGGCAGCACCGGTGTTCTGGTATGTCTAACAGGTGTATAAAGGGTGCTCACTTGAGGTCTCCAATGAGGCTCTGGACCCGTCCAAACTTGAAGGCCTGCTGGGCCGTGTAGCGGTCAAATTGGAAGCGTCCTTGAGGGTCTCTGTGACGAAGGTGATCCACAAAGGTTCTGATAATAGTGGTCATCAGGTTCTCCTCCACCATTAGCATCCGGGCCTAGCATCATGCACACACAAACAGAAATGTCTGACTTCATAAGATATTCCATGAAATTTGATTGGATGGCAGAACAAGATCTGATTGATCTGGACGTTGGGCAGCTGGAAATGGAAAACTATTCTGACATGAGAGCCCCCACTGCTGAGGAATAAGGTTCTGTAAACAGAGCCTAATATATTTAGTGGGTGCTGGTTGGAGGCCAGTTTCTTGAGCAGACTGACAGAAACAAGTCTGTAAATCTAGAGTGGTGAAGCTGCCTCCCATTCAGCGAAACAGAAATTAACTGTTGTTCAGTTACACAAACCCCTTTACTCTTCATAAACACTGTAAACACAGCTGTTACTCAGAAGCTACAGAGCACCCTGACAGTCTTCATTGAGCTTCAATTTCTCAACATTTTATGTTACAGGATTCTTTTCTCCTTTAAATTCTACCATGCTTTATAATGACCAGGTGACAAGCGGTTCCTGGTATCTTCCACACATGACAACTAGCATCCAAGGCTTGGTTTCTTCAGACCAGAGAAATGTGTTTCTTATAATCTAAAAATCCATCAGGTTCCTTTAGGCCAGGCGTGAGGATTCTTGGTCCGCTGAGGATCACTAGCCTGTCTTAGTTGTTTCCCTGCTTTAACACACCTGATTTTAATCATCGGGTGGTTAACTTCTGAAGAGTTTAATGAGCTGCACAAAAGGTGATTCAACCACTGAATCAGGAGTGTTGGGGCAAAGCAACAACTAAAACATGCTGGACACAGGCCCTCAAGGTTCCCCAACCATGCTTTAGGCAAACTGATGGGCTGGTATGTGCCCTCTACTGAGGTGATGATTGGTGGGCTGCTGCTGAAAGAATTCTACTTCTGGAAGCGTCTTTCTCTATAGAGCAATGGTTCGCTTGAGCTTTCGACAAGTAATAAAAAATTGCGCCCACATTTTCTAAGTTAACACACATTACTTCCAACAATGATAGTTTTTGCATCTTTACTGTTCCCCTGCTTCAGCCCTCTCCTCCTGCACAGCGGCTGCAAACTCACTGGTGTGCCTGCAGCCTCTCAGAGTTCCTGCTGATCTAAACATTGAAATAATTATTTCATTTTCTGTTCCTCACTTCTGATTACTTTCAATGGTGTCTGTTTGTTGCAACCACCAGGTACAAAAACAAACTTGTTTTTATTTGACTATTTTTCTGTCCTGCCTCTATTATCTTCCTGCATCTCCTCTCAAGAAAAAACTGCTACCTGGCTTCATATCATTTCATCTCATGAGTTACCTTTGAACTGCAGTTCAAAAAGATCTACCAACCGCAAATATAACGGAGTGCGCGCTGCGCACAGACCGCACCGGTGCAATGACGTCACCGGAGGACAAAACAGGTGATGTGCTCCGCTCCGCAGCAGCAAAACGCATCAGGCACAAATAAAAGACAGAAATCATAAAAGGATATGAGCCGACATAAACGATTGCGTGTTAAATTTGTTTTTGAGGTGGCGACACATTAAGAATGTTACTGTTGCCGTGCTCAGGTCACATCTGTCTGGAGCGCGTCAACGATCAGAGCTCTGCGCCTCTCAGCTCTAAATAATCTCCGGAGAGTCCACATAGATAATGTAATATAAGTAGAACCAGGATCGTTTTTGGGCTCCCCCTGGGGGTAAGCTGACAGCTTACAGGAGCTCCCTTTAGCTCACCGTAATTCGAACCCTGCGTATAGCACAAGTTGGTCGAGTGAGTTGCCGGAACCTAGCAGACAGTTGCCGGATCGGGCCTTTTAAAATGAGACAGTTCCAGGATCTTGTTCCAGCAAGATCTGGCTCAAATTAAGCCCTGGTTGTAGCCCATCTACCTCAAGGTTGTGTGTGTTGTGGCTTCATAAGTGCTTTGCTGCATTCCTCGGTTGTAACGAGTGGTTATTTCAGTCAAAGTTGCTCTTCTATCAGCTTGAATCAGCCGACCCCCAGATAAGCGGCCGTAAATGGATGGATGAGATAATTTATGTTACTCTAATTTAATTGCCTTCTGAGATTATGAAAGTATTTTGAATTGAACAATAGTTTACACTATCATACTGTCAACTTTTGTTTTGTTTCTAAAGATATATTTGTGTTTCGGTGAGAAGCAGCCAAAATGCCTCAGAAGCTACCACAAATCTTACCCTTCCCACTAGGGCTGGGCAATATATCGATATTTCTAAGATATCGATATAATTTTTAAACAAGAAACAAGATGACATTATATCTTCATATCGATATAACTGGTCAAACTGCAATGCTAGCGATTAGCCGTTATGCTAGCGATTAGCCGTTATGCTAGCGACAAGCTGCTCCGTCTCTAAGCGGTTATGACGTGTATTCTCACAAGTCTGCTCAATCTGAGGGCGTCTGGGTAAATGTGCTGCTCTAAACTTTGCATTTGGTGTCCTGGTTTTTAATCATTTGGGGACGTTCAATGCCAACGAAGTTCTGTTTGCGGAGACGAGCCAAATCCCTCCCTCCCCTGTGTAATCGGGAAGCATCTACGGATAGCCGGAGTGGCTAAATGACCGCAAACATATCTTAAGGGTTTGAATAGTAAATATAGGGTTAACATTTTATTTTGAAGGTGAGCTCAACGGGTCAGAAATGTTGTTCCGCTTCCGTTTTTTTCCGCTGTGGTTTGCTATGCTAGTAAATACTCCATTACGAGTGATTCTGTTGAAAAAGTTAAAGAGCAAGTCACCCCCATCAGAGTATTACTCCACTCCCACTTCGAGTTTGAAAAAATGCAACAAATGCTGTTGCCTAGCAGACCGAGAGGGCGGAGCCGCAAACAAATACACACGCACGGACTCGCAATGACATTGTGACATCATACTGTAGCAGCTAATATTCTAGGGTACCTCTTAGCCAATAGTGATGGAGGATTTAAATGTCACTGCAGTGCAGATTTTTTACCTGACACTGACAGTTTTAGGCAGAAAATTTAAATTTGAACCAAAATGCACTAAAGTGCAAAACTATTGATTGCACGTGTCTGCAACACGATTAGACACACATTTATATAGTTTATCAGAAAAAAAAAATGTTGATTTGGGCGTGACTTGCTCTTTAAGAGTTTGTAAGGCGTGGGTTACGGCTCAGTAGCCCGAAAATAATACTCATAAAAGAGCAACCAGAGACCCTGAGTCATTACAGTATAATCGCTGATATGAGCCAACACTGCTAGACTCCAGCCATGTTTGCCCTAATAACTAATAACTCCACGTGCATGACCCATGTGATCATCAGTAGATAAAATTACATCATCATACAATTCGCTTAACATGACAGATTTATTTTTCTGTGGACAAGAAATAAACGAAATGGCCAACCTCTAGATGAAATTTAAATAATTTTACATTAATTATAAATATATAATAAAAAAAAAGCCTGTGGGACATTTGATACACCTCTAGCTCTCAACTGTGTGTGTGTGTGTGTGTGTGTGTGTGTGTGTGTGTGTGTGTGTGTGTGTGTGTGTGTGTGTGTGTGTGTGTGTGTGTGTGTGTGTGTGACAGACAACTGTACCAGTGTTCCTAAAGCTCAGACTGGTAGAGAATAGGCACTAAGGTTAAAGTTTGACCAGAATCAATAAATGTTTATGCATCTAATCTACTGATTTATGTTTATAATTTCTCAAGACAGCTTGAAGTTTGTTAACTTGTAAATATTTTACAGGAGGAAAAATATCAAGATATTTATCGAATATCGGAATTCAGCTAAAAGATATCGAAATATAAGTTTTGGCCCAAATCGCCCAGCCCTACTTCCCACTGATATGAGCGTACACTTGAGTACCTCTGTGCTGCATGACCCACATGAGCGTAATCCTTTGTGTAGTGGATGGATTAATGTCATGAATTTAGCTCAATATTGTTTTTTTATTAGGATGGGAGGGGGACTCTAATGAATTTTTATTTAAAAAAGTAAGTCGGAGAGAAACGGGTGGGGCCCAAAACAGAGACAGAGGTGTGTGGGTGTGATGCAGAGCAAGAGTACTCACCATGGTCGGGACAGTGAAGAGCTGAACAGACAGTGATGTCACAGACACCAATCGATCATGGTCATCCTCCATATAATCTGTCTGCAGGCGTCTATAGTTCTGAGAAGGTGACATTTGAACTCAGAGCTGTGTGGCAAATAACTACCTGAACAGTGAACTCCATTTGTAGATAGATGCATTTAAAAATATACAAACCTGTTAAAGTTAGAATATGGAACATTTTCATTAAAAGTTATATTTACAAAGAAATAATAGCTTCATGGGACATTCAGAGGTGTGCAGAATGAATGTAGAGTTTCTCCTTTTAAAGCTATATTTTAAAAGATAATCATTTATTTTTTCTGTCGGGCACAACGCTGTGTTTTTGTTTACATCTAAAAGTCACCAGAGGGCACTGTTGTGTTATAAAGTCCACTCAGCGAGGCTGAGACTGTGTAAATGGCAGACTTGACAAGTGAAGCAGTTGATTCTGAGCCCAGAACATGTTCTAACAGTAAATACTGTTGTAAAATAAACGTATTATAGAAATGAGTCCTTATCCTGTACGAACTGTCTTTGAACATGGTGCTGGAACATGTCAGCAGTGAACCAACATCCCAGCTAGGGTTCGAAAATTAGTCCTGTTGTTGCAATACAACCTCTGAACACCAGAGTTTGCCAGAGTGTCTGTGTTCCAGAGTCAACACTTAATGCATGATAAAATATTTGCAGGTGCGACTGTAAATTAGCATCATCTTGGCTTGAGACTTGGAAGGCTGTGTTGACTGTGCAGCCAGGAGAGCAGAGCACGCCACGGCTAGTAGAAGCTAACAGTTAGCAATAGCAACTCCATAACATAATAAATAACCTGCCTCCGACCACCACCAGCGGGCAAGAAGGGTGAGATGTCTTGCCCAAGGACACATCGACTGACATGACTGCAGGAGCCTGGGTTTGATCCTGCAACCCACAAATTCCAGGGCGAATTCTAACCCCTGAGCCGCTGCTGCACCACACAGCAGAGCTCCTCCAGGCTTGCGTTAATTTGTGGAGATAAAACATCAACATCGCAGAGAAAACAGAGTCAGCGGTCAGGTCACGTTGCTGTTATCCAAACATAGGTAAGATGCACGCATACCATGAATATTAGTGAGTAAGACTGCATATCCTGCCCATCTTTGTGTATTTCACCCATCCCGATTTCATTGTGATTACAAACAAATTTTAAACACAGAATCTGATGGACAGTAGTCTGAATCTGACATAGATCTCTGAAGTTTGGGTGTGATGAGACTCAGGAGGGTTACCTTGGCAAACTGGATGGCAAAGATCTTCTTGTACTTGAGGTCCATGAGGAGGCTGTTCATGAGCAGCTGGTGGTACGTGTTCCTCGCTCCTGTAGGCCACAAGAGATATCTGAGCTCATCATCATCAATATCTTTCTAGTGATGGTTCGATTGTGATCTGGATCCTGTTAGATCACATTGATGATCACCATCAAGCTTCTACAGGGGAACATGCTGACCAACAAAATGGTAAATGGCCTTGTGGTGGTGCACACAAGGGGAGGGGCTGCTGCGAGCCCGCCGGTGCACACCAGGCAGCAATAAACAACCAGCTGCTGATTGTGAGGGAAGACATCACAAGTGGCAGAGAGAGACCGCGAGCAGACAAGAGGAGCTGGGTGAGCTCCACGTCTGTGTTGGAGCGTTGCAGCTATGCTGCTCCTGTGATGACTAAAGCTGTTATTGAAGCTGAAGGAATGTGGGTGTACGCCGGTGTAGCTGGTTCTGCTACAGTGGTGCCCAATGTGGGGCTCACACACACACACACACACACCTCGACACCATGCAGCCACTGGCCCACAATGCACCAGTCCTGCCACCCGTCACGATGTTAAGACTAACGTTGGTAGACATGACAAGGCAGAACCGTGGGGCCGTGGAACACCGGAACAGGTGGACGGAGCAGCAGACAGAGATTCTGTGGTAGTTGTCAGCAAGGGTTGGGCATCAAGCATCAATTGGAATGGGGACTGTTTTAAAATGTTTGCCAGAGTGTCTATGTTCCAAAGTCAACACTCAACTCATTCACTGCCACTGATGACAAAAGTCGTCATTTTAAATCCAGCCGTTCACTAATTATTTAAAGAGCAAGTCAACCCCTACCAGAGTCTAACTCCACTCCCACTTCATGTTTGAAAAATGCAACACATGCTGTTGCCTGGCAGACCAAGAGGGCGGAGCCGCTAACAAATACACACACACTCAGGCTCACGACAGCATTGTGACATCATAATGTACCAGTTTACATCATAGCATACTTCTTAGCCAATAGCGGTGGCAGATTTAAATTAAAATACAGTGCAGAGTTTTTACCTGACAACGGCACAACACTGCCAGTTTTAGGCAGAATATTAAAATTTTAACTAAGATGCACTGAAATGCCAAATTATTGACGGCACGTGTCTGCAGCACGACTAGACACTCGTTTATTTAGTTTATAAGCAAAAAAAAGTTTATTTGGGGTGACTTGCTCTTTAAAATGTTTTATCTCGATTTCTAGTTTCGACTGCCAGACTGCCAACTGGAAAGATTTTCCGCGGTCGATCTCTGTGAGAGAGAAAAAAAAAGTGATCTGCAAAGTCTGATCAATGCTTTTCGGAGCCGATCACACCAATTGTCTGTCGCTACTACTTTGCAGCCTGCAGAGACCCCGTGTGCAGCATTGTGTCGTTCTGCAATCAACCATAGTGTGAAGATGGACAGTGCATTATGCCTGGATGCCCATGTGGGTGCTGCAGTATCCTCTTCATTTTATCATTTAAGACATTTGGCCAAAATAAAGCCATTTTATCCCAGATGGGAGCGCTGGCGTTTCTTCACACAACACACAAGCTTACAATATAATGAAACAGCACTGCAAACTTGTCCCTTCCTCTCCAGCTCATCTGCCTGACCGGGGCGTGCAGGGTTCGATGGCCACAAAGAGGGGACCCATGGCTGCGGGCCACCTACTGAGTA